GTAGATTGACCAAATTGGTTGGGAAAAACTGATTACTAGTATTATGCAAATATTATTATGCAAATTAGATGTATTGTTATGCAAATTGACCGTGATGCTTGACATGAAGTCTGGGGAGAACACTGACCCCAGCTGCTTATATCTGAGGTAGGTTCGGAGACAGCTGGAGTACCAGTTTAAATACACTATGCTATAATTTATTCAAGATCACATACTAAATGTTAGACCCAAATGGTCGAAAAGATCTGATTGGGAGAGAAAGAACCACGAGATTTGTTTTTTGCCATTCAACTATTGTTTCTTTCTCTACTGTTATTGTATACACTGTTCCTTTGACCTACAGGCATGTCACTACATGGTGATTGGAACACTGGACATGATTGGTGGAAATGAAATACCGGGTACTATTCAGGAAGCATACACAAGTTTCATGGCTCTCTCACTCTCACCAAGAACCCGGCAGCCATTTATATTTTCCATCAACCAATCAAATTGACAGTCTTCTGTGATCCTTTTCAATGGCTGTCAATGCTTAGTCGATTTTAAAGGATACAGAGAAGTTGGAAATTGCATAGGTTTTGGTTTTGGCTACCAATGATAATATTTCTTACATATTGCTGCTCTGTTGGTCTCTTGTTAAAGCTTTTACAAAGCTCTGCATGGTCTTCGCTTTAAAAGCATCACTTGTTAAATCGTAAGGTAAGTCTGGAAGAAAAAAAGTATTTATATGCTCACTTCTGAAGAGTATCCTTTAAAATTTAAATCGAAGAGTACGCTTACAATCCCTTGGATTACACAGTGGATTTCACAGATGTTCCAGGTTAGGGCTTGCTTAGATGGCATGCGCAAAAATTAAATTGAAGTCCTAAAATTCTATTTGATTCATATTACATGTGTTTGTTATGATTTTGTTTCCCATTGAAATTAAATCCTAAAATTCTATTTGATCTGTATTTAATTTTGTAAAAGAAAATGAAAAATAGTCTATATAACCCAATGAGGGTTCCCTTGTCATCATGCCGCGTCCTGTTCGATATGGGACTCATATCGACGTATACAACGCATGTAAAATACATTGTTTGTTTACATGATATTCGAACACTCACAGCGCGATGACCACTGCCCTTTAATTTTCTTCTCAGTAACAAACTTATCAGTTGTCATTGGAATAGCATGTTAAGTTATGATTTTGTTTGCCAAGTTGTTTATTTATTCATTTTTTTTAACCTGATTGATTTTTCCAAAACTTATTTTCTTAGACTTAGAAGTTCTGTATGGCATCAGGTTAGTTTTGGTGGTACCACTTTCGCGGATGCCCTGCGGGTTTTGGTGCTGGTGGTTGTTTCGGCAAAGCGCGATGCCATACAGACATATTTGTTCATTTATTGATTAATAAGCTATATGTTTATTCATCACCGATTTGTATTAACTTTCATATTCATTTGTTTAGTTATTTATCAATTTGGTTAGTTAATCTTCATATTAATATACTTATTTTTGGCCCTCTACTATATACCGTACATTAAAATTTACTTCCAATGTATATAGGAAATCAGACTAGACTAGACTAGCAGTAAGCTATTTTCTGATTTCCTTTTGACCTAATATATATGTGTATTTTTCTTACCATTTGTTTTTCTGTATGGCTTACTTTTGTTTGTTTTTTGTTTTTTCAGTGTTTCTTATTGTTATTATTATTATTATTGGGTAAATAAATAAATAAATAAATATTATTATTTCTGTGGAGGCTTTCAGGCAATGTGTTAACAATCGAATCTCACTGCATCCTAAACACCACCAGTAACCAATCACAAATGGGGTTACGCAATCGACTTATCTCCCCTCCCTTATCTACAAAACAAAAAGAATCTTTTGAGTCGGTCGGTCTGTCTGTCTGTACTGTGCACATTATAACGAGTACACACGCGGTCAGTGTTAAATAACGACTATAGAAAACATCGATGATGCACGAGGCCGTCAATATTCGTTTTAAAAAGCCCTATTAATTTATTGGTACAAGTGACTGTGGTCACGTATGCACTAAAATAATACCACTACCATATAACGCATAAATAACTTCATGAATAAATCAAAAACTTGATATTAATATGCAATATTATAATATCATGTACACGCTTTACTGTGAAGCCCGGAGACTGGGTAACATGTATTGCTTGCCATTAACACTTACTTTCTTTCCTGGGACCATTGTCGTTAGAATCTTCGTCGTCTTCCCATTCATTTAAAGAATTTGTTCTATTTTCTTTTTCTCCCATTTTAACTGATTATTATGTTCATTGACAGCATTTGAACGCAGTGCGAGTATTTAGAATACGCGCCCTCTACGGAAGAGATTTTCATTTGTTTTGGGTTTCTTTTCTCCATCGTTATAATGTAACGACATTTCTGATTGGCAGACGTTTAAACCGGAAGTAAAAGAATTTGCTCTGCGATTTTAGCGTCACAGCACGGGGAAAAATATTGTCGTGAAATATGTCATGCAAAGAGCAACAAGAGGTAATTTTTCATTTTTTCGGGGAGAGATATAAAGAGCATCAAACTACAGGACACATATGTAGTTACGTATGTAGAAACCCGACTACAGCTGACACTGGTTGATGATTGCAAAGATCGTGTCAATATTTCTTATTTGTACGTGACTGTAGTATTTGCAATGTTTTGTATTCTGACTTTGCAATGTCCTCTTGTTGGATAAATGCTAATAAAGGTTGTGGTTGGAAAGGCTTCCCATTAGTCCCTATAAGTAAATCGCCACACAGTAACTATAGCATGTTGGTTTCGGGACGTTCCGGCCGTGGTCGCTTGCGGCCCTAATAAAAAAAAAAAAAACGATTCGGCCCTGGTTTGGACGTTCCGGCCCCAATTTAAAACCATGTTTGTTCGTGACAAATGCCCTGCAAAAGATAAAAAATAAGTTGTGAATTTAATATATTAACATTAGATATGAACACATATTGAATATAATTTATACCCGGGCCGGATCGACCAACCTGTTTCTGGGCCAGAACGTCCAAACCAGGGCCGGATCGTCTTTTTTGTACCAGGGCAGGATCATCTAGAAATCAGCATGGTCTGTGTGTCTGGAGTTACTGTCATATGGACAAGCCTTAAGTTGATCAATACAGTGCTATGTGTAGGGCTATGTAATCTGCCGAATGGAAATTTGATGACTTTTTCAGTGTTCTCCCCAGACTCTAAGCCAAGCATCGCGGCTAATTTACATAACAATACTTCTTATTTGCATAATTTTGTTTGCATAATAATTAGTTTCCCCAACAAACATTATAACTGAAGTAAAGAAGAGATACATATCTCATATATTGGTTTGTTTGTTAAATTTGTAAAATCTGTATGAAGAAATTAATAAATCTATAATGACATTTTTTTCTACAACGGCATTTCAAAACTAAAGTCAGCGATTTTTCATTGATCTATCTATTATTTGTGTAACGCTATGATCACCTAACATTGTCAGCTGACGGCATTGCGTTGAACGGGTATTCACCGCTGCTGTTGCGATCATCGGTCCCTGACTTTTTTGTTTAAAAATACACAAACTTAGAATGTTTGCTTAATTAAAACGATTCATTGATGATTAACTTAGAAATTACATCAAAATCGCCAACGAAATGTTGTTTTTAAACATCGCGGAAAAACATGCACTCTGCGCCGCCATCTTTGTTACCTCAATCAAAATCTCCGTTGTAACCCAGCATGCATCGGTTGTGATGTCACTACATGTGTTACGTCGCCTTAGGGTGGCGTTCCTCGGTAATGACGCACTATGAATGAGGTATTTCTAGAGGTCAGGGTTCGTTTTTTCCTCGTCCGTCTCGTCTGCAGTTGAATAATATTTACTTCGATTTATGTACAGTTTTTTTTTTTTTCCGATGCGACTTAATTTCACTTGTTTTTTTAATTCTTGGTAAATAGTGTCACTGGCGATGAAGTAGTAAAAACGCAATTAATCGCAGTGCAGCAACTCGGGATAGACCATCCCGACGCAATGGGCAAATTATTACTACCCTAGTATTTTGGGTTTGCCAGCTCCGCACCCTTGATAGACTTCTTGTAGACTTCCGTTTTTATCACAGTTTTTGTAAGGCTAACTATGTACAAAGGCGGGATTACCTTTCGATTAATACATGTTATTGTTTTAAAGATGTGCTAGACGAGGCTGACACTTGTAAACAATACAACGTGAATAAGCATCGCGGGCAGGATTTCAAGGATCGCGGGCGAAACAAAAGCGACGCGGCTGTTTGTCTAAGCGACGCGGGCCCGCAGTGCTTGAAAGGCCTGGGGAGAACACTGCTTTTTTACGTGTTGTATTCAGGATGTTGACAGTTTTAACTTTTTTTTCTCAGACTGTGATCACAGGGATTCTTGCATTATGTTCCAACGAAGGCTTGGAGCCTTCACGTCCTTTTATCGCTTTATAAATTATTAACAGATGCACCTTTGATGTACTAACTGAACTGAGAGTTAAAATATGTGTATTTTAGTTTTTTGTATAAAGTAACATAACCCTTGTATTGGTGACAAGCAAACATGTATGTATCTGTTCAGGGAGGTGCAAGGTGATGCTGACACCTAATTCTTGTTCTTTCTAAAAATCCAGTTTTGTTTTTTTTCATTTTCACAGGAAGAACAGGAAGTCCTCTCATCTATTTATGAAGGCGATGATTGTTTTAAACAGATTAATGAAACAACATACCAGTATAAAGTGGGTATAATCATTTAATTTGTAGTTTGTTCTGATTTTTTACACATTACGTAAATGGCCGATTAATTCTATGCTTAGACCTTTTCTGGTCACTTTGTGTTACAAAACACAGGCTTGCATACTTTTATTTCTGATATTGTCATAACAAAAAATATTTCTCCCTTTTTCCGACAAAACCATGAACAAAAAGCTGCGGCCAACACATTTTTACCTAACATACAATGACTGGAAACTTGAATATTATTTTATTGGGTCATGTTACAAAACACAGGCTTGCATACTTTTATTTCTGATATTGTCATAACAAAAAATATTTCTCCCTTTTTCCGACAAAACCATGAACAAAAATCTGCGGCCAACACATTTTTACCTAACATACAATGACTGGAAACTTGAATATTATTTTATTGGGTCATTTCGGTTGAACAACAAGTAACCTTGGAATGACTTAA